GCATGAAATTAGGTATACAGCTCTTTATATGCATGCTCAAACAGATCTATATATAGCTGTAGCTCTTCACTGCGTTCGCTTATACGTTATGCATGCCTCTGCACACTGACTACAGGGTATTCGCCCTTGAAACCTATTGACCCAAATTAGAATTTACTTTACTGAACTGGAGCATGCTTATAGAAGAAATAAATATAATATTCAGATTTGTTTTCTGTTTGAATATTTTCAGTTCCAAGTTCCACATTTTTTGGAGGCTTTACAGCACCTGTATTTCTGAGATTTTAGTGCTAATTGAACTTGTATTTAAATGTAGGTATTTGTTTGAACAGCTTCAGCTGCAGAACTCCGGAGCTAAAGTACCTGAGTTTCCTCGATTTCCCAACTGGTTTCATTCACAGTTTTATTTTTTGTTATTGGCAACGAAAACAAAAAGAGTTGAAAGGGTAAATGAGAGAAGTTAATCGTATTTTTTACATTCTACCTGCTTTGGGCAAAATGTAATCGGAGAACAGGTTTTCTTTTTTCTTATTTTTCTCTCTTAATTTCTAAGTTGTAGCTGATGTGTGTCTTTTAATGATTTTTTTTTTAATTTACTTCTTGATTGGCTTTGGTTTTATTTTCAAACTTTTAATTTGCTTGCGTTAAGGCACAGGTTGTTTTAGACTCTGCTCGGCTTTTTTGTTTATATGAATAGCATTCTGATCACAAATAAAGCTCACCTATTGAAATCTCTTTTGGAACAAACTACCCAATTAACATATCTTTATGGACATTTATTTAAATACCGTATGTAAACCAAAACGGTATTTTGCATTTGTGCACTTTATAAATTTAAAAAATGATTTAAGTTTTTTTATTTCTATTCAATTCTAGTCAAATTCAAATAATATATTTCAATGAGCAGCATACTCGGTTCTGACTGGAAACGAATCCTCTCTGAATCAGTTTGGCCAATTGGAGCTGAAGCATTACGCGGGCAATGCTTGACCGCAAGCTCCAGCTTGATTTATTTTTGTTTACCTACATACATAATTATAATAACAAGCACACACACACAGGCATACAAATACCAGCACAGTATTTACTAGCCAAAGCTTTATGTATGTATTTATTTATGTATGCTCATTATGTGACAACTCCACATAATTTCCAAGAAGAGTACACAAAAGATGTAATAAAAATGTATGTAATCATGTACATACACGAGCATAAATACATATGCATTTGTGTATATATTTGCCAACGGTACTAAGCATTACCAAAAATTTCTCATGACTCATTTCGCGCTTATTGGACAACAACAAAGTTGCAAACGTGCCAAAGAAACGGCAAACTTAAATAAGAAGCAGGTCAAAGCAGCACACATACATAGAACCACACGCATACACATATGAAAAAGCAGTGGAGGCAAAAAAGTCAACCAGAATCCAATAAGGCAACACAAAAGATCACTTTGTTTAGCCAATCAGAAATGCAATGTAAAACATAGACGAACCTTAGATTTTCTTGCAGTCGTTGCAGTTGTAGTTGTAGTTTTTGTTGTTGCACACAGATTATGAATAAATTTAAAAGGCAATGACACCGTTGAAACGGTACATACTCCAACAACAGCAACATATAATATCTAATGCTGTTACACACACACACACAAAAGCTCATTGTAAATCATACACACGTGCAGCCGTGAGAAAGTGACGTAACATTAGAAAGAGAGGCCTAGAGCATTGAGAGCGAATGACGAAGCATTCAAAAGGAAAGACCACAATCAGCAGCTGAGGCGAGGCAGCAGGTGCATTGCAAAAAAAAAAAAAAAAAAAAAAAAAAACTTTTTAGAGAGTGGGCGTGAATTTACACGGAAGCGGTTTATTTCAGTGAGTAAGAAATCAAGCTATACACAACATGATAAAAGTTTGCAGTAATTGCCATAACGAAACACCCAAGATAAAATATTGAAAAACTCTCTCAAGACACACACATACATACAAATGTAACGTTACAAGTCACCCAAAAAAAGAAAAAAATCTGCCTTCTACTAGGAGAGAAGAGAGCAAATGCCTCTTTCTGTAATTGAATGAATGGCAAAATGTTAACAAGGCGACAGTTTTTTTTTTTTTTTTGCCACTTTGAGTGTGTTGACCGTTATTTTTCCCTTTTGATTTCTGTCAAAAACTATGTGATTTTTTCTGGTTTTCTTTGTATTCTCTTTGAATTGCACTTACAATCTAAATGCTTCTTCTTCGGCCCGATGCATTCCTCAGTTGTGGCCTTGCACACTGATTTGGCGAGTCCTTGGCCCGCAAGGCTGTGACGAGCAGCCAGCAGCCTGTCGTTGATTGTTTGCCCAGCCATAGTCATGATGAAGCTGTTTTTGTGGTTGTTGGTTTCACTTAATTAACACTAGTTATATATCCAATCTAATTTGATTATGTGCACCAAAGAATGGACCAAACAGCACACACATACACATACACTGTGAGACAGGCCAGTACACGCACACGAACACACACACGCACACTCAGAGGCAGGGAGACGTATTGATATTGATTAGTTGTTGTGGCAAATGCTTAACGAAAAATAAAACACGACTAGCTGGCGCACCACAAACTTTTCATTCGATTTTTTTACTGCACTAATTAATTTTTACACCGCGTTTAATGCGCTCTTTAGCCGGTGCGTAACGCTGTAACGCGATCTTTAATTCTCTATTTTTTTCTTCTTTTTTTGCCACAAATCGATAATGGCGACCAGTACTTTTGCAGCCGATTAGAATAGTGAGCGCTGTTATATCGATGATTGCTCGTGAGGTGTAAGATGTATCGATATACCTTTTAATGCTACACTTGTTTGATATTATTTCACTTGAGGTATTCCTTTGTTTACCACTTCAAATTTCTTAGTTATACATGCTCAGGCTGGCAATTGGCACTTGGTGCTTTTATATTATAAATAAAAATCTACTGACCTATGACCCTATATGCATTCAAAAAAGTTGTAAGCAACATACGAAATTACTCGAACATTAACTAGTCAGCTGATGGTCCGTTTCACTTGGCGATAACTGTGTATAACGATAAACGATAACAAACTTATTTTATATAGCTCCAATGCCTAGCAAAATAAGAAGTATATGAAACAATAATATTAATTTTAAATCCAACATCTACAAGTTGTTTTGGTAACCACATACACATTACCACAACAAATGTGAACGCAAGCGCTGCCAGAGCGCCGAACTACAACAACTCGCACAAAATAACCAGCAAATTTCAATTTCCGTCATCTTGAAGACTTTGCCAGGTACAAATAGAGCTCCAGGATGAATGCAATGCGACAGTTTTATATGGAAGTGCCCATAGTGACAAGGGCGTATACCACAGTCTGTGTGCTCACAACGCTGGCGGTGGTGAGTCCTTTACAGTTTCAACTAATTTGATTCTAATGCACGCTGACGTGTACCGTAATCTGCATATGTTTTGTGCTTTGCTTTTATCTTTGATTTGCCAGCATTTGGATCTAGTCTCGCCGCTTCAGTTGTACTTTAATCCCACACTGATTGTACGCAAATTTCAAATCTGGCGTCTGGCCACCACATTCCTCTACTTTGGTACCATTGGCATCAGTTTCTTCTTTAATATGATATTCACTTATCGCTATTGTCGCATGCTGGAGGACGGCTCCTTCCGCGGGCGCAGCTCTGATTTCGTGATGATGTTCATCTTTGGCGGCGTGCTGATGACATTCTTTGGCATCTTCGTCAATCTGCTGTTCCTTGGCCAGGCATTCACGTTAATGCTGGTCTATGTGTGGTCCAGGCGCAATCCTTTAGTGCCCATGAATTTTTTCGGTGTGCTCAACTTTCAGGTAAATACCACAAAATATGACTGTAATTGCATATTGTATACAGAATATATTTTCCATTATCTGTGCAGGCGCCGTATCTACCTTGGGTACTGCTCTGCTGCTCCATGATATTGGGCAATACCATTTGGGTGGATATCATTGGCATGGGCGTTGGCCACATCTACTATGTGCTCGAAGATGTCTATCCCCAGCTATCAAACGGCTTCCGACTGATTAAGACGCCGTATTTTCTGTAATATAGCTTATACATGAACTTTAGCTTAGATTTATTCATCTTTATCATTCTTACAGGAAAAGACTCTTCAATGAACACATTGAACGCAATTACCAAGCCGCTGCCGAAGATCGCCCTGGCGGCTTTATGTGGGGCGGCGAGGGGCAGCCAGCGGAGCCAGCAGCCCCGGCCGAGGCCAATGAAGCACCAGATGCAGCTGAGCAGCCCGCAGCAGCAGCAGCGCAATAACAAGAAACAAGCAAGCAGCGTGTGTGGTTGTTAAATTATTAAGAAAAAAAAAAAAACACAGAAAACACAAAAAACAAAAACAAATAGCATTTGGACGAGACTTAAAAGTTAAGAACCCTCCGCCACCTTTCACCTGGTGCTTGGTAAGATTAGCTACATATTGAGATACTGAAAGAGAGAGAGAGAGAGAGAACGAAGCAAGCGAGTGGCGTGCAATAGTTAGCCAAAGTTGAATTCAAGTATGTGTGTGCATTATTGTTTGATTCGAGTTCCATACTCAATTGTACAATTTAATGCAATTGGCCTTAAGTTTCCATTTGAATGATTCAGCATATGTGATTATATATATGTATATGTATATATTTATGAAAGAAAAACACATTAAACAAGGTAACAAATGAAAATAAACAAATGTCTAATTAGAAATCTGTTAAACTCTCAGTGGCGCCATCTGTTGTTTTAATTACCGCTGGCTATCATATATTGACAAGCTGTCATACACTCCGATCAAAGCATTTTGTTAGCAGTGAAACAATTTAACAGGCAAGCAACCATATGTTGCCATAGAAGACTATCTGGCAGCACTGTAACCAGCATATGCTGGCAAATGAATATTTGAGCCAATTGCTGTCATACAATAGGCAGCACAGATCTGGCAACTACTTGGCCAGTTGCTGCCATATAAGCTGTGGGCATATTAGTCTGGCAGCGCTATGCCAGGTTTCTGCCAGACGCCATATAAGCAATGGAGGCGAGAACTAGACAACACTTCAATAATTGGGTAATATAATAATAAAAATATCTTTTTCAATAATTGATTTAAGCCTAAATACATATTTGTAGGTAAGCGCCAAGAAACGCTGTCGGAGATCACGAAAAATCGAACAGGAGTGGACACCAGATGATGTCCGTTTGCTCATCCGGCTCGTGGGACAGCGGAAATTGCTATGGGATCCAAGCAATCCGAATCACAAGGATAGCAAATCGCGCGAGCAAGCATTTCAAATGATAGCCAGCAAACTGAATCGCACCCTGGCCGACTGCAAGGCGAAGTGGGACAATCTGCGAGCCCAATATAGAAGCTATCAGGCGAAGGCGACCCAAAACATTGAGATCAAATGGCAATACTTTGAGCTTCTAAGCTTTTTGCATGAGGTCTGCGAGCCACGCAAGTCCAAAGCCAATTCTGTAAGTCACCAAACATATATAAATAAAAATGCGTATGTCTATATATATATATATGTACATACTTAATATGATATCAATTTTCAGTTACAGCTCGAACCGAATGATGAGGTTTCTATCAAGCGCTCACCCTCACTGTCATTGATGGAAGAGGTGGACACCTGCTCCACTATGTTCTCCTTGGCTGCGAAAGCTCCAGAACTGCACGAAGGATCTTTAGCTGTGAGGGAGCCAAACCCACATTCTCACCAAATCTTTGGCGATTTTGTAGCCGACGAAATGCGCCGCCTGCCACCCCATATAGCTGATGAGCTAAAGCGAAATATCCTAAAACTGATTGTCGAGGCATTGGACAGACAATAGTTGGAAAATATAAATATGTTATCCTAATTGAATTTATCTCATTTCCAATTTTGATTTCATTATTCTGTATTTAAGCATTTTTTGCAATCTGTACAGAAATATACTTATAAAACTATCAATCAATGCGTTGTTAACATACTGAATTTAATATAATGTTTATTTTAATTGATAAATGTAAATTTTCTTCTATGAAATGAAATTCTCTAATAAACAGTTGCAAACAGAATTTTTTCAATAGTTTAAATAAGCTGAACAGCATATTTACCACCACCTACTAGTTAACATATGTTTAGCTATAATAACGGATCATATAGGAGTACCAAGAGCTCTTGGAAGATAGAGAGGTTCACCGATAATTGCCTGATAAATAACTAAGTATAAAACTGTTGAGCATGAGTTTTTAGCTGATAATTCTATGGAACTAGTATAATTACAATTATTTTATTTAATTATATTTCTATGTGAAAACGAATCTTAAGCTGTTTGATTTTAATTCAAATTCAAAGTGCGCGCCCTTCTTAAAATGTTATATTAACGTCGATCGTCGCTGTTAATTTACGTTAATCGCAATAAATATCTCTTATACGTATTATTAATGTATTCTTATACGTTTGAGCGTCAGAGCTCCAACATGAAATTCTTGTTAGTAGAATACATATATAATGAACATTCATCTGATAAAGCATTAGTTTTTGTGTATTTCCCCAACAGTAAGCATCCGGATCTTTTTTCGCAACGTACTAACTGTAACTAATTTTATACTCACCCAAAATGCAGTTAAATATTAGTTGCAGCGAGGTAAGTGTTTAAATAAACTATTAAAAACAATTTTATTTCAAATATTTAATTACGTATAGGAACTCGTGGACGAATTGGCCAGATTTTCAGGCAGATATACGGTACAACCCGAAAGTTTATCAAACTTCGATGTACATCTCGAGAATCATCAAATAGAAGCTCTCCAGTGGATAAACCTGTGTGAGAATATGGAACCATTTGGTGGTATCCTGGCCGATGACAAAGGATTAGGCAGTACGTGTACTATAATTTGCTGGCTACTCCTCAAAAAACTAGAGAATAGGCAAGACACACACTCGAGTGAGTACAGCACTAAGCTAATATTTCATTAAAAATGCGAATTATGTGTAAACTGAAAGCAGATAAGCAATAGAAGAAGGCGTGGCAGACATGGTAGACAATAAAATATATATTCTGGATTAGCATGATCCGCAATCTATGTGTAGACCACTGAGATAAATACATATTTCAAATTCATTTATCAGTCCCATACAAACAATATTTTAAAAAATTTTATGTTTTGTATTTAATACTTAGTATTGCGTTGAACAAATTGATAGTTCATCTGCAACCGGACTTTCATACATATATGTACATATACATATGTATGCTCAAGTGTGAGTGGCCATGCGTAACGGTCTGCAATTTTTAGCAACTTATCAACTATTTATTATATACATACATATTTGATAAGTTCCTACATATTTCTGACCATTTCGCATATCCACTCAATATATATACATAACTATATATGTATAAAAGATATTAAAACAACAATTAGTATATCTCGACTGGAAGTCGACCGATTTAAACACTTTTACTTGTTCTGATTCTCATATTCCATGTGTAGATCATTCAATTCCAGAACAAGCAAAACTGCTCAAATCGGTTGGCTGATGATGTTTGTTTATATTCGTATAACTTTGTGTACTTACGACTTTGGATGATTGAATGCAGAAGCATAAAATATCAAAGGTGTTATTGGTATTTTCAAAGTTAAAAAGTTCCTTCAATTTATATAAAAGTCTACCCTACAATACAAGTGCTTTGTATTGTAGGGTAGACTTTTATATAAATTTAAACATACATAAACATTTAAAAAGTCTTGGTGTGTGGTACAAGCAAAATATAACTAGAAGAATTCTTCTTCACTTATACTACTTCGTACTTTCGTTACTTAATTTGTTTTTAGACTATGCTGGCGAAACTCTGATTGTATGTCCAAAAGCTATCCTGACCCAGTGGGTAGATAAGATTAGAGCTGTGGCGGGTGATCAGCTTTGGGTCTATGAGTACATCGGAAAAAATCGCGACATCAGCAACATTTATAACGCAGACATTGTGATCACCACCTATAGAGTTGTAACGTATGATGCGAAGAAAGAAACGAATCCGCTGGATCTCAAATGGCGTCGCCTCATTTTGGATGAGGCTCAAGCCATAAGAAATACCAAGTCGGAATGTTCAAAAGCAATCTGCACTCTGAACAGCCATTTTCGATGGGCTGTGACTGGAGATCCAATCCAGAATAACGAAAAAGATTTTATGGCATTGCTCGGCTTTCTGTGCAGAGGACAGTTAAGGAAGGATAAACGTTTGTGCTTAAGGCGTACAATGTCTGATGTTCAGTCAACTGAACAGATTCAGAATTTTCCAACTCTAAAAGAATTTCCCATTGAAGTATAACTTGATGTACAAGAAAGAATATTGTATGACAAAGTTCGTAACAAACTGGATCGACAAGTCCAGAGGCGCTCCATGATACACTTGGTGCGGGTGCAACCCAACAGCTATGCTCTCATCCATATCTAATCCGATCGGTAAGTTTCAGAACCTGTGTCTATGAATCTAGACACAATTATATATATTTTTATTTTATTATAATACAGATAGCATAATTAAACCGGAACAATACGAAGGCGAAAGATATTACGACTACAGTAACACATCTGATGATAATGTTCTGAGCCTAAGGAATCCCATCTTTGACCGGGCCACTCCCTCAACGAAAATTCTTAAAGCTTCTGAGATAATTGATCAATGCGTACTGCAAAATAAGGAGAAAATCATTGTAGTATCGCACTGGAAAGAACTGCTAGAAATATTGAAAGAATATTTAAATAGCGGCAGCAGAGAACTAAGGATTATTACGTTAACTAGCAGTAATACGCGTGATACAATCAAAAATTTTAACGAATCTGATGAGCCTTGCGTTCTGCTCGTCACTTTAGGATTAGCGAAATCTGGTTTAAATTTATATAGAGCCAATTCTTTGTTGGTCATGGATTCTCACTGGAATCCGCATCTGAAACCACAAAGCGCCATCTATAGGATGGGCCAGCGAAACAGAAATGTTTTCGTTTATCAGCTCGTGTGCAAGGATACGGTGGATGGCACAATTCAACAGGTGCAGCAAAATAAGTTGAATTCAGCCTTTCAAGTTCTCAGAGCGAGTGCTATTTCAACAGTTCGAAGAGTTATTGCATATTTTCAGAGTCTATGGCAGTAATTTTTATTTTGTAGAATTGTAATTCATTGTGAACACTTATTCAATATAAATATATCAACATTTTTGTCAATATCCAACTATTTGATTTTAATAGCAGAGCTGTTAGTTAACATAACACGTAACGGTAAGAAATATAAGTGACTGTTCGCCCGCGCCAGACTCATCAAAATAGCAACAGCTGTTAGAATCTGCTAACCTAAAATACGCGATAAATTGACTACTGTAAACGCAAATATGGCGCATGTTCAGCTACATAGCGTTGCCACCTAAGTTGGCTGCTCTGTATACGACTTAACAGTACCTATTGAGGACAAAACACTAAAAAACTTCGAGCCGGACAAATAAAATTGGAGCATAAATTACAATATAAAATGGATGTTGATGCTGCACAAAAGAAATGGGAGCTGGAAAATAACGTACAGAAATTGCCCAGCTGCGATGAAATCTTTCGTTATGATGCCGAGCAGCAGCGCCAAATAATTGACGCCAAGCCCTGGGAGAAAGATCCGCATTTCTTTAAGGACATTAAAATCTCGGCTCTGGCACTGCTCAAGATGGTCATGCATGCTCGCTCTGGTGGAACGTTGGAGGTGATGGGCCTAATGCTAGGCAAAGTGGAGGACAACACAATGGTAGGCAACGCTAGATTAAAAAAAAAAAAACGCTAGTAAAGCAATAAATTGCAGATTGTGATGGATGCTTTTGCACTGCCCGTGGAGGGAACAGAGACGAGAGTTAATGCCCAGGCCCAAGCCTATGAGTATATGACTGCCTACATGGAGGCGGCCAAGGAAGTGGGACGGCTGGAGCACGCTGTTGGTTGGTATCACAGCCATCCAGGTTACGGGTGCTGGCTGTCGGGCATCGATGTATCCACCCAGATGCTCAATCAGACCTACCAGGAGCCCTTCGTCGCAATTGTTGTAGATCCGGTGCGCACCGTGTCTGCTGGCAAGGTTTGCCTTGGTGCTTTCCGCACATATCCCAAAGGCTACAAACCGCCCAACGAGGAGCCGTCAGAGTATCAGACGATCCCGCTCAACAAGATTGAAGACTTTGGTGTGCACTGCAAGCAATACTATCCACTGGAGATAAGCTATTTCAAGTCGGACTTGGATCGCAAACTGCTTGACTCGTTGTGGAACAAATACTGGGTGAATACACTGGGCAGCTCAGGTCTCCTAACCAATACGGAATACACCACCGGCCAGATCATGGATCTGTCCGAGAAGCTGGAGCAAAGTGAAAACTTCTTAGGTCGCGGTACATACACTTGGTTGATGTAAAAAGTTCACGATTCGCCTTTTATAATAAGAACTTATTCTCATTCCACAGGCACCGACGTCAATGAGAAGAGATCCGAGGATAAGTTGTCCAAGGCAACGCGCGACTGCAGCCGCTCCACAATCGAGCTCATTCACGGCCTGATGGCCCAACTTGTCAAGGACAAGCTCTTCAACAAGGTGGGCTTGGGCAAATAGGCTGCACCGAAGACTAATCTAAAGAACATTTTGTATTTATAAATATATATGTATAAATATCCAATTAGGCTGCATTTTCCATGATAAATGCAATCTTATTTGCCACATCAATCATGAAGTCTACAGAAGTGTTTATTTAAGTGTTATTATGGATGTCGGGCACAGGGCTGAATCCAGGTGTGTTTAGAGCAAGGGCTTTGATTGAGTGGACTTTCACGTGACAGCACCAAAAAATAATGGAAGCTTAAAAATACCCTGTACTGATTTTTAAAGAACGTAAGGAAGAAAAATTAAATAAGTTATTCAATGGCATACACTGAGTTTATAAATAGTAAGTTTATAAATATTTAAAAAAAAAATTTAGCAAATTTGTTAGCCTATTCTCGCACCAGCTTAGCCTATTTTAGTCTAGATATAGCCTGTTTGACTAGATAATAAATCCATTGAAAATGAGTAAGAATAGCCATCTAATAATTGTTATTATTAATGTACATAAGTTTTTTAGTATATCAGCATTTAGCCCAATCGAACATATATTTTCTCTTTGCTTCTCTGGCATTTTAACGTCGAATTGGCCAACATGTATCCATACGTGATCGCCCCTGTATAATCCAATATAACTGTATATTTATCTATATATTTGCCTCTCTGCCTAAGAAAAGTAATGGATGAGGAGCTATAAAAGATCATTTAGTTGTCTATATGTGTGCAGAGCAGTGTTTTTTTTGCTATTTATCTTGAGTGAAACGAAGCTAGAATGCTTGAAGAGAGTGCAGAGATTGCTCTCAATGGTCACTTGAAGGGCGACTGCAATGACCTCAACATTTGAGAGGGACCTAGGCTATGAGTGAAAGTCGCCCTATATAAAGGGCAGCAGCTGCAGCATTTCTGCAGTCACCTAAGCCAAGCCTGGTGGGATCAGTGCAGTAAAGTGAAGTAAAGTGTGTGTAAACATTTAATGATAGTTCAGCTAAGCATTAAAGACTTGAAGAAAAGACTTAGGGGAAAATTCTTAGAGGAAATAATTAAACGACATACTTAAAGGAGGTAATTAGAGGATATTCTTAGAAGAAATGCTTATACAGGAAATAGAATATATCAATCCAAAATAATTGGCGAGATTCAAGTTTAAATAAAATAGAAAAAGGTCAGCATTGTGTTGTATGTCAAAATAATTTGATTTTAATTTTATTATTATGATTACCAAAAAAAGGTCACTCTCAAATATATTTGGTACTTTTCGTATGTTCTCTTTCATTTTTTATCTAGCCTGTTTCCAATATTTTAGCATTTTAGCCTCCTTTAGCCTACTTTTATCCACAATTCAAGTTTTTCAAAGCTCAGCACTGCAACCAGACAGCTAATATAAATAGCACAACATCCTTTAGAGCTTAACCGTTGTCATCAGCTGTCAACATTTGTTTTCAGCTCCCATACGTAGATAAGTGTGCCTACGGTGATTTAATTCTTTTCGTCCTTGACCAATAACATCCTTGACAGCGCATTTAAGCATCAAATACATTGCCTGCAAACAAAAAGCTTTTATGAAATGAATATCTGAATACCTATAACATATTCCGCTTCATGCAAATGTTTACATTGCTTTATTTAGAACACGCTGTGAAATTGGAATTCAGGGAATCTTGCTTTTCCTTCAAATGTATGTTTTAGGCAGAAGGAACCCTGACTGACTCTATAAAGCATATACATTGCTGATCAGAACGGCCAGTTACTGTCCAGCTACACTTTCGATGATCAGAAAATAACTCTATCATTAGCTATTCATAGTTACGTTATTCTACTATAGATTTTCAGAATTGGCAAACAAAAATATATTGCCCTAGTTTACAGTTATTTTAATACTCCATATTAAAATGTAACAAAAATATTTAAATTATGAGTATCAATGTATTTTATTTTATTTATTTTTATAATTTAGAAGATTTAAGTATTTTACTTAAGAAATAAATATTCAGAACACGTTTGATTGCCTTACTATATATTATATTATAATAGGCCACAGAAGAGATTCATTTAAGTTGACAATGGATATGCCAAGTATATAAATTCATAGATAGTGTGATCTGCTTAAATGCCAAAGGGAAACCCCAATCAGCACTATGTACTTAACCCCTAACAAAACGGTATTTATGTACATAGATAGGAATGCAAGGAACGCATTTTGTGCGTGTGAATTTTCGTTGTGAAAGCAATAAAAATAGGGAAGCATACTTCATTGCGGGTACTTTATCGACTTAGCGAGCGTCAATTGGCATCAACAAGGAGCAATGACATGTAATGAAACACTGTCAACGCACTAAAGAGGCGGCAGGCATGGGGGCACACCAGAAGCACCCGAAAGGGTTTCGAAATGGGGCGACTGATGTAGCGGACAGCTGGCTATAAAAGTCGTATTCGACTCAGGCGGCGCTTCATTCGCAGGACACAGCCACAAGCAGTACGAACAACCTTTAAAAAAAAAGTAAAAAAAAATATATGTAAATATATATAAAAAAAAAAAATCACATCTTCCGGTATACAAAGCGCAAAAGCAGCAAAATAAATAAATAAATAAATAAAAATTATATGTTTGGGTTTCCTGTGCTGTGGCAAATTACATTCCGTTTGCGCCATAAATAAATAAGTGCCGCTGGGAAATGCGAGTCAAACTACAAACAGTTGCAAAGTGAAAGGGGATCCGAAATTTTAATTTAATTTAAGAGCCAAGCCTGTTGCTCATTTAAAGCAGGGCAAAAAACGATTGTAAAGGTATGCTATAAAGGTATTTAAAATAAGCTAAAT